ATTTTGCTGGTTATTCTGCAACATGTTTCTGACCGAAGTCCCAATTAAATGTGATTCAAGCTGAATCTCCACAACTAAAGCTGATCTGGTGCTCGGACACAACAATAAACGGGTTTGTTGCATCGTTCGTATTCTAGCGGGTATGTTATCCTGTATTTTCGAAAGATCCGAAAAAAAAATTTATGTTCAGGGTTTCCTAAATTTTTACTGTGAAAAATTCTGAAGAAAATATTTCTCTGGAGCATTTAAAAGCTTATAAAAAATCGTTGATGTTTGAATCATGGTATTGGAAAACTTGGCCCCTTTCTACCGCGTAGAAAAATGTTCTCGGCGCCCTGCGTTCGAACAATCCTTTTGCTCGATGAGTTGAACAGAATTTAGTTATTTATAACTGTGTCCTCATGTTCAGGGAAATGCTATCTTTTGCACGAATCTGGTCTGCATCATGTGGGGGATATTGAAAAATAAAGGAATTTCTATGGTTGTCGTTGGGGGCGGAATAGGTTAGAGAGCTTGGCATTGCAGGAATGCAATGCGCTCGGCGTCTCCTCGGGTTCCCGCCGCCGCCGACTTCTTCCCGTTGTTGGCGGCGGCGACGACAGGACGTCCGTCTGTCCGTCCATTTCGCCGTTCCTTTTTTTTTTTCTTGTTCTTTGCTTGCGAGGTTTATTTTTGCATTAAGAATGGCGCTGTTCCCTGGCTTTTCGTGTCGCTCGCCGGGGCGTCATTAACCACAGAGAACCCCCCGTCGCCCGCTGGGTACCTGAGGAGGAACCGAATACTTCGGGGGTGCCTTTTGAAACCCGAGTTGCGGGGCGCGGCGACTTTTTTTTTTGGGTTCCTTCGTCTGCACTTCCTCCTCTTGGTGTGCTGTGTTGCTCATTAGGGGTTCCAAGTTTATTTTTCCGCGGGTCTCGTGTTTTTCGTAATTGCAATTTTTTTTCTTCTTTCTGCTCTCTATTTGCGTGCGCAGACGCAAAACACGGAACTACGAGTTCCAGGGACATCCGAAGAAAGAATTACGGCGACGAATTGAATCCTTGGATTTGTTTGGTTCTGATCATGTTCTGGATGGTCGATCAGGGAGAGTTGATTGCTCATTATGTGTCTCGTCATTAATTCTTCCCCCTTGAAGGATTCAGTTTATTCGTCAATTACTGGGTTATTCGATAAATTTTACTGTAGATGTGTTCTGAGACTTCTGACTCTTGTTTCAAGTTCGGTGAAAAAGAGCTTGGAAGAACGGGAAAAAAAAATCCTTGGAAAAGTTTTTATTTGCTGAGAAATAAATAAGTACTGTACTCCGCTTTCGTAACTGCTTTTTCCATCAGTGCTTTGGCATTCATGTAATTTTTCCACCAAAATACGAGGTGTAAAGGTTAGGTTAGTCAGGTGTTGTGTTCTGTTGAGTTTTTTTGATTTTGGGTTCGATTACATCAGTCAAAATTTTAAAATCATGAATTGAGTGTCGAGTTAGTCTCGTGTGTCCAATATTGAAGCTGTCGTCGCTGCAGTGGGGGATCTTTAGGAAAGCTTCGACAAAGAACTGTGGAATGACTCAGATTCGCGGAATTTTCTATCAAGTGTAACGTAGTAAAGTAATTTTTGACATTACTACTGTAATTAGCGGTCCAAGTCGAGTCGTTTTGACACGACTGCTGCTGTCCTGGTTTACAGCCTTGATTCTATCAGTATAAGCATTATTATGAGATGTACGCTTGCTCGAGTACTGAAAATTCACCTAGCGAACTATTCGAATGAAAACCTCGGGTCGGTCTTCGCTTTGAGTGGATACACGTGTGTATGTGTATATAGAGCACAGATGATGAGAAATCATGACGTGGCAGTTCTATAGTCATCTAGCCGTGGATAACAGAACGATTCCCACGGATTCCGGCCTTGTGCTCGAGACGAATATGTTCGCCTTCTTGGGGTCTCCGGAGTGACGGGGCGTATTCCTGCGACTTGTGGTGGTTTCAGCAGGACAAGCGTCACGAAGCGGGTTATTATCAGTTTAGTCGATGACTTTTTGAGTCCTTGACAGCCAAATTATTTTTTGAACGAATGGAATCCGAAATGTGAAGAGTTACGCGCTGATTAAGGATAAACTCTTCGATCATTTAAGGAGAATGAGGTTGAAGATGAGCAGCTGATGGCGAATGGGTTCAAAAGTCGGATTAATTCTACGAAAAAAAAAATTTACGGAAGAAAAGCGTTTTGGAGAAAGGCGTGAAACGTCGAAGAAATATATGTCATGGTAAATTCGAATTAAATGCCGTAGATCATCGAATAGAAACGTGTTCTCCACTTCTCACACAAATTCCGTTTTGCATCCCTAGACGTGTTGCTCTTCAGCGTTAAAAAATTTTCACTTCGTTATTTTCGCCCATGAATAACGCGTTTGGTGCTCTTCTAGCGCAAACACATCATGAAATGAGATTTATGCGAAAGTTCGAATGTTCATTCCTCGGGTTTAAAAAGAGAATTATTTTTGGTCAATGCAATGCGCGGGGCAGCTTCAAGAATAAGCATCACTCCAACTTGCTTCAAATTAATTCGCTGACTTCGTTTGTTGATTAAGAAATATTCGGTGTATCATGCGTATTTTATACTGTAATTGAAATTTGCTTTTAAATTTGCATCCTGTTTTTTTGTGAATTGCTTTTGCATATCCTACTTCAGTATCAAACTTTCATATTCTGGACTTGCTGGGGTAAATTTGAACCTAGTTGCTGTCAAATATGACTGAGTAGAATTGGAAATATCGAGTATTCATTTTTAAGTCTTGATTTAAGGTGAAGCCGCGTGTGTTTGCTGAATGCTTCCCTAGATTGATGATTCTCCCTTCATCCTTATACCCAGGTTCGGGATACGAAGTTTACAGTATATGATCAGCAGTAATGTGTGCTCAGAACGGAATGACGTTGCGTGGGGATTGTTTTTCTCTCTCTGTGCCTCGGTTTTGTGGCTCAAAGGAATGTAAATAACTTCTTTCTGGGACGTGGTTTTCCCTTTAAGTCAAACCGTGAGTGCCTTTGTCGGCAAGCTGTCTTTGGGGAAACTATTTGAACCCTGAACGAAGCATGTACTGTATCGTGGCGAAGAAAACAATCCTCTCGTGTGTATTTTCCTTTGGGGATTTTATTTTTTATATATATATTGGAGTAGCGATTCGCGTATCGATTGGTTGATATGCCGCGTTTCTGGAAGTGAACCGAGGAATTTTTGCTCATTCTGTGCGGGGATGAAATTGGAATTCAGAAATTTTGCTGGTCATTCTGCAACATGTTTCCGACCGAAGTCCCAATTAAATGTGATTCAAGCTGAATCTCCACAACTAAAGCTAATCTGGTGCTCGGACGCAACAATAAACGGGTTTGTTGCATCGTTCGTATTCTAGCGAGTATGTTATCCTGTATTTTCGAAAGATCCGAAAAAAAATTTATGTTCAGGGTTTCCTAAATTTTTACTGTGAAAAATTCTGAAGAAAATATTTCTCTGGAGCATTTAAAAGCTTAAAAAAACCGTTGATGTTTGAATCATGGTATTGGAAAACTTGGCCCCTTTCTACCGCGTAGAAAAATGTTCTCGGCGCCCTGCGTTCGAACAATCCTTTTGCTCGATGAGTTGAACAGAATTTAGTTATTTATAATTCATTAACCACAGAGAACCCCCCGTCGCCCGCTGGGTACCTGAGGAGGAACCGAATACTTCGGGGGTGCCTTTTGAAACCCGAGTTGCGGGGCGCGGCGACTTTTTTTTTTTTTGGGTTCCTTCGTCTGCACTTCCTCCTCTTGGTGTGCTGTGTTGCTCATTAGGGGTTCCAAGTTTATTTTTCCGCGGGTCTCGTGTTTTTCGCAATTGCAATTTTTTTCTTCTTTCTGCTCTCTATTTGCGTGCGCAGACGCAAAACACGGAACTACGAGTTCCAGGGACATCCGAAGAAAGAATTACGGCGACGAATTCATCCTTGTATTGTTTGTTTCTGATCATGTTCTTGATGGTCGATCTGTGAGAGTTGATTGCTCATTATGTGTCTCGTCATTAATTCTTTCCCCTTGAAGTAGTCAGTTTATTCGTCAATTACATGGTTATTCGATACATTTTACTGTAGATGTGTTCTGACTCTTGTTTCAAGTTCGGTGAAAAAGAGCTTGGAAGAACGGGAAAAAATTCCTTCGAAAAGTTTTTATTTGCTGAGAAATGAATGAGAACTCCGCTTTCGTAACTACTTTTCCCATCGGTGCTTTGGCATTCATGTAATTTTTCCACCAAAATACGAGATGCAAAGGTTAGATTAGTCAGGTGTTGTGTTCTGTTGAGTTTATTTTATTTTATTTTGGGTTAGATTAGATCAGTCAAAATTTTAAAATCATGAATTGAATGTCGAGTTAGTCTCGTGGTTTCCAATATTGAAGCTGTCGTCGCTGCAGTGGGGGATCTTTAGGAAAGCTTCGACAAAGAACTGTGGAATGACACTTTACTTTACTAAAGTACACTTTACTACGTACACTCTACTACGTAAAGTGATTGTTTGACATTATTACTGTAATTAGCGGTCCAAGTCGAGTCGTTTTGACACGACTGCTGCTGTCCTGGTTTACAGCCTTGATTCTATCAGTATAAGCATTATTATGAGATGTACGCTTGCTCGAGTACTGAAAATGCTCCTAGCGAACTATTCAAATGAAAAACCTCGGGTCGGTCTTCGCTTTGAGTGGATACACGCGTGTATGTGTATATAGAGCACAGATGATGAGAAATCATGACGTGGCAGTTCTATAGTCATCTAGCCGTGGATAACAGAACGATTCCCACGGATTCCGGCCTTGTGCTCGAGACGAATATGTTCGCCTTGAGTCAGCTCAGTGGACGACGTTCCTTTTTTTTTTTTGTGTGTCGTGGATTAGGAAACTTTCTATGGTTCTCCACTTGCTTGTTCGAGGATCTGTCAAGTCATTCTCGTGTTCTGTTCACTATTGAAATTGTTTCGGAAATCCATGAGTCGGGGCAGTGGGAGGGGAGGCCTAGATCGAGGCCGAGCGACTTGTTTTGAATGTTTGCTCGATGAATGTGTGACCATTGTGATGGAGTGTGTAATTTTTACGTGGATATTTTCTGTTTGTTTGCAGCGTTACAAAATGCGTTCGATGCCGATTGGGCTGCCGGCCACATAACGCAGGAAAGTTGGAACGCAAATGCGTCGGCAGAAGGAATCCTGGCGTATAAGCTACTCGTGCAAACTGGGCATGTCGACGATCCCGTCGATAAATCTCAGGTGAGAGAATGAAGTTGCTGTTAGAAAATTTTCCAGAGTGTTCAATCCAAAACGTTGTCAGCAATGAAACAAAAATTATATTGTATATTTCCGGGGCTTATGAGCTACCATAACGAAGGAAGTCTGATTTCGGAGAGAATTTCACTTTTTAAAAGAGTTTTCTTCAGCGAGAGTCATACGGAAGGACGGATCAGGTGATTTTAATTTATTGCGCGGATATTTTTCTGTTCTTTGTTTTTCTTATCAAAAATGTTGAACGCCCAATCTTTCCGCCATTTATGATGTGAAATATACAGCATAAAAATCTAGCCAACACCTTTTCATTTATTCTCTGACTTCATCAATGGTTTGAAGGAGCAGAAATATAAATTTCAAGATTTAAGAAAGAATGAAGTACAGTGCAGTACTTTGATTGGCATCCATGGAGGGTTTCGATTTTTCAAATGAGGTCAAATATGCGGCGGTATTCACTCCAAACAGTAACAGGCTTTTGAATAAGACTGTTCCAAACTTTTTCGAAAAAAACTGAGTTAACTTTCTCTTGAAGGTCTTTTCTGACAAAATGCTGGGTTGAAATCGCACTTTGTCGAGTAATTCTGGGTTCGCCGAAAAATTGTGAAGAAGAATAAAACTGAAAGCTAATGTGACATTTAGGGTATTTTTTCAACGGGGCGCGGAAATCGGACACCACTTCGTGGCTAAAAACTTGTGAGAGATTACGTTGCTTAGGATTTCTTCCATGTCGCGTGTTCTGAAGTAAAGTATTGTCATGTAAGAAATGCTGTGCTTGAACGGATGACGATTACGAATGAGGATTGTACGGGATCGTGTTCTCAGTTTAATCACGCGTCGGCGCTTTTGCTCTCGTTTGGCAGGTGACGACGGCGCGTCTGGTAGACGAGCGCGGGGTGATCAGGTCGACCGGGTTTTACAACTACCTGTCGGCCTGGGTGTCGAATGACGCCCTGGCCTACTCGTACAGCGACGGGGCATTGTCGCCTTCACCGCGTGTCTGGTACCACGACCCGTACGACACCGAGCTCAAGATCCCCAAGAGCAACTCGCTCGACATGTCGCTGATGCCGTTCCAACTCGTCGCATTGGACTCCACAGAGGCTCTGACGGATACTGTGGGACAAATCCGCGCCATCTGCGATTCGTTTCGGTTCGTAAATTCACTTATTTATTCATTTTTTCCTGCTCAGAAAATACTAAGGGCTGTATCTTCGTTTTTTTTTCAAGTACTGTCCTTCGCTTGACGGGTTCGTCAGAAGAAGAAAATTTTCTAAATGAGATGTTATTCGTCGAAGCTCAAATTCATTTTCTTGTTTTTTTATTATACTTTAATATTTTGAAACATTAAGCTACACTTTTTTAGCATGCGAGTTTTAAAAATGTGCATTTCTGTCTCCTTCGTCGCCCGACGTTCTTGGCTGCTATTTACTTGATAAGCTTTATCACTGAGGTTGGATTTGTTAAAGTCGGTTACATTTCCAGTCTGATTCAGGCGACACCTGCCGGATATGTTTGGCGCTGGAGTGATTGATGGAAACTAGAACACCGTAATTTATCTCCGCGTGAAATTTGGAAAAGATCACAGTAGGCACCTTTTAATTATCCATAGAAGTCAGCTGTGCTGTGCGAGTCATTTTAAACGAGGTCTATTTATTGAATAGAGCGATAAATTATTTTCATTGATGTTCGAGTTCTTGGATACTTTGCAGAGTTTGCACCGAACTTGAGAAAGATTTTGACTAAAATCAGGTGGACGTCAAACTGAATGACATATAAACTCCTTGAGGAAAGAGGTTCAGTTTGAAGGATTGACTATTATCATTTGTTTGGTTCGACTGGCGGGGCCTTTTTTGAGCAGTAGCCTCGAAATGAATGAAAAAGTAATACTGTACGTTCATTTACTTATTTTTCATTTTTAGGGCTCGTGGTTTGCCAACGTTTCCAGCGGGCATCCCATTCACTTTCTGGGAGCAGTACACTGGGTTGCGACCTCAGATGGCTGCGTCGATGGGCGCTGCAGCGGCCTGCGTGTTCGTGACGATCGCCGTCGGCCTGGGCTCCCCTTGGGCAGGTCTTCTAACGGCGGCTTCCGTTGCCCTCACTGTTTTGTGCCTATGGGGCACCATGTCGATGTTGCTCGGGTTGCAGTTGTCCGCCGTGCCGGCGGCGTTGCTCGTGTGCAGCGTTGGCCTGGTGGCGCGGCCGGCGGTGCAAGTGTTGGCGGCGCACGCGTCGGCCATCGGCGGCCGAGCGAGGCGCACGGCGATCGCATTGGACGCTGTCGGGCCGGCCGTCGTGCACGCCCACCTTGCCGTGCTTTGTGGCGCCGCAATGCTGGCGTTGGCGCCGTTTGACTTCATCGTGAGGTGAGTTTTGCTTTTTTCTGTTTAGCGACACTGTGAGACATCTTGTGCTGTCGTTTCAATTTACTGGAAGAAATCGTGTCTCTTCGTAACTTATCGGCTCAGCCTCAGAGTGCGATACTTTTTTCTAATGTTATTTGTGTAACAATAAGAAAATCGTCGGGCTGTGTACTAATATTTTTAGCGTTTCTTTTTAAATCTCAACGTAGCAGCAATATATTCCGTTCGAAAGATTTTCTCATCTATATTGTACTATATGTGGTTCTTCTGTGATGTCAAAAGCGTGAAACTCAGTCCCGTCTTTGATCCCAAAGCTACTGAAGCATGTCTGAACATTCGTTTTTATTTCGTTCTTTAGGCACTTCTTCTGCGTAATCGTCGTTTTGGTTATGCTGAGTTTGCTGCATTCCCTACTTCTCCTTCCCGTCTTGCTGACGCTTGCCGGTCCGCCAGCTGAGGTGAGTTTTTTCTCCGGAATTTTTCTTTGACTCGAATATGCGTAATAAGAGAACTGCTTGTCACCCTTCCTTGTGATAGGGATTATTTTCTCTGGTTCATATTTCGTTTTTAAAAATTGGTGTTCTCACTTCAACGCCCAATCTTGCCTACGGGAATGTCATGCAGATGTCGCTTGAATGCATTCGCGAAAATAATTATCCTGAATGAGAATAAATTTTCATGACCGTACCCGAATCGAGCTTCTTACGACACTGGTGTTATCCCAGGAAAATATTTACTTTGTGGCGTCGGGTTCCGATGGAAAAAGAACTCGGATGCAGTTTGATCCTTGGGAGTCTCATGAAAGTTTGTTTCGAAGAACTTGTTGATACTATGGATTTTTTTTTTATTAGGTGAGCCCCGTGGATGGGACGTGTTTGCTGCCATATCCTTCACCAGATCTCCGCCGACCCCAGGAGCGTGCTCCAGCGGGGTACCACAAGAGCTCCGCCGTGCCTGGACGAAGCATGCGTGTGGTGGCGCCGCCGGGAGGACTCAGACGCGGTGGAAACTTATACCCGCCGCCGCCGCCGGGAATGCGCGAAGAGCGCCAGCGAAGCGGTTCTAGCAGAATGTCAAAGAGGGCTGCCGCTGCGGCAGCAGCAGCAGCGGCAACGCGTGGCTCTCAGATCTCCTTGTCGACGATCACGGAAGAACCAAGTAGCTTGACGTCGTCGCACGAGATCGTCTTGCAGCCGGAGTTGGTGCTGGAGACAAGCCTGAATGGGCCGTTGACGGCGTCGACGTCGTCGTCTTCATCTGCCGCGTCGAGCTCGTGTGCGTCGAGTTCTTCGGCGGACGATTGTTGCGGGAAGCGGCTGGAGGACGTGTCTCCTGCCGCATCTGTGTCCAGTGGGGTGCATTTCACAACCAGGGTCACGGCCACGGCCAAGTTCAAGGTTGAGCTTCATTCCCGACCTGGTAAGTGTCCCAATCGATTTTTTCTTTACTTCGAGTCATCTCGGATTAGAACGTGGAAAATGTTGGCAATTCCGACTTCCGGTAAACGGACATTATTTCAAAAATGTCCTTTTTGCCCTAGCGGTCCTCTTATTACCTTTGTTATTCGAGTACCATGCGCACCTTCTTTCTCAAATTTGAGAGGAAAACAGCGGCTGCACGCCTTGAACGAATATGAATTTTTCACGAAATTTTATGAATTTAGGTGTACGTTACACTCGATTCCAACAGGAAATACTGTATTGGACCAAGTTTAACAGGAAAACGTATTTCAATAGAAACAATTTAAAATTAGTTGAATTCAAGTTAGTTCATTTTTAAATTCAATTGTAGGTGTTCTTATTTCTGAAGTAGTGTGGCTTTAGAGTCAATGGAATGGTGTCCGCGTCTTACTTGGGTATACAATTTTATCTAACTTTCGAACTGAAAATCTGGGTGCGTGTCTTACTTGAAGGCGCTTTTTACTCGAGTGAATACGGTATTGACCTTCCCTTTATCTCTTCTAGAACGAAAATCCGATTGGGAGGACCATAGTAGAAGAATCCACCGATACAATACTTTGATTTTTCATCTGTTGGGTTTCTTATTTTACGCGGTTAAGCGGAGTTGTTTTTTATTTCTTGAAATGCGGTTTTACGAGTTCAGTGTGCAATAGCTTCATCAACATAGCGTTGAAAACAATTTTCGGTCCCTAGCAGATAACTTTTTTGTGTGGAAAACTGCCGAATTCGTTTAATAAAGTAATTGTTTTCGTTGTTTTAGGATGCGTGACTGCATCGTCAACAACCAGTTCATCGAAGCGACGCTCGAGAACCTCAGGAATTGAACGCGTCAGCATTTCGCAGCCGACGTCGACGTCGTCATCGGTGTCGTCAACGCGTTCGGAATGCGAGTCCAGCTTTGATCCTTACATGTCTTCGTCGTCCTCACCGTCTCCTCCGCCATACCGAAGGTCCAATGACGGCGTGTGATCCCAGTTTTTTTTTTTTTTTTGTGAATAGGTGAGTTTTTTACTTTACCATTTATATTGATCATTTGATTGTGCGGTGAACTGCATTAAATCTCGTCTTTTTCTAGTTTGTATTATTTATTCATGACTGTTGAGCAGATGTTTTGTTTTCGAAATGTGTCTTAAGTCAGCGACGCGAGTAGTGATACGATATTTGAGTTCTAAAAACCCGTATTATTTTCCAAATTTATGCAAAAACCATTTTAAATTTCTATTTTTATTTATTTTACCCTCAGGAGGAAAACCAAAGATCTTCATTGCGGAGTCTCACTGAGGAGGAGAAACTCAAGAGTATTACGCGATTCTAGTTTTCCGGATGGCGGGAAACGGAAGAAAAGAAGTTGTCAAAAACTACCTCGAGCCTGCGCTTCGTCACTTAGTGTTGTCGCCATGTCTCGCACTTTTCCGCCTATGAGTGTCGTAACGCTGCTGCGTTCCTCGAATTTTGTTGTTGCTTTGTTATGATTTTGTCGCTTTCTTCTTTTTGACCGAAAGTCCTCCGATTCCTGGCTCATGTGGCTTTCGATTTTTTTGGATTGTTCGTTGCGCGGAGCTTCCAGAAGTTGTGTTTTTTTTTTTCTTGGCATGAAGAAGACATTGTTGTTGGTCGATTTGTAAAGTCAAGTCTCGGGTGTGTGAGTTGGTTTTCGTACCAGATAAGGAAGTTTATAGCATTTGCAGCCTGGAATTTTTCCACGAGAATTCTCCTGTATTTTTCGCTGTTCGGAATGACGCGTCTCGTGCTTCCAGCGATCGTCTGGACGTCGATTTTTATTTGATCAATCGTTTTCCATTGTCAAGGGTTTTGTTTTGTTCGAATCGATCGTTTTTTTTTTTTCTAAGTGAAAAGGCATGATGTCCTAATGTGTTCAAGCGAGATATACATTCGTTCGGACGATGATTCAACAGCATCTTACTTATTTTTTTAATTCACGTAGTTTCTTGTAACGGCCCAAAGATGGTGCCATGTTCGCGCTGCACTGAAACAACTTCTTTTTGTGGGTACATTGTGTGCCACATTTGGCTACAACTCGATTTCCTGTGAGCCTTGTCAAAATCGAGGTTTTAATGAGCTCATCAAGGTTGAGGAAGTCTCCTCAATTTCACTTTTTTCAGCAAAATGTGGGCTTGGGAGGAAATTTCTTTTTTTTTCCTCCCTGACTAACAGGAATTGTCATTGATAACTTCTGGTATCTGAACTCTGAAAATTTTCCTTTCAAAATACTGATGAAAGCAGACCCTCTCATCTGTGATTTCCTGTTCGCATGGCTTACGAATTTTCAGTACTGCACAAGTTATAAAAACACTTGCAAAGTTTAGTGTTATAGTCTCAGCTTGGATCTCAGAGATCGATCAAATACCCGTGTATATACCATGAATTACTCCATTACGCCACACTTATACAGAAGCCTTTGTTCTCCGCCTACGAAAATTTCTGAATCCATCCCGGCTCTAAAAACTGTTTTCACCGAGGGGGTCTTCAAAATGACCCACCATGCACGGCGATCATGAATGCATTGTATTCCATTCTTCTGTTTGTCTTGATGCTAGCACTGGTTGCCCTGACGTGGAAAGAAAACCCCAGACACGACTGTGATCCCCTTTCTTCAATTTTGAAAAATTTCAAGGCTGCGTGTTCCGGAACGAAGAGGTGTGGGAAGGATCCGAGCGAAGCAAGACCGCCGTGTACGCTCAATCAACCGCCCACTGCTTCTCCTCCTGAAATTGACGTTGAAGAAAAGAAAGCCGGAAAGTCTTGTATTCTTCCGGATATCTTGACTGAGAACGACGAGGAGAAACTGTTGTGCAAGTTGGGAGACGGCGACGTGGATAATCGCGACAGTGAAAAAACTACTATTAGTGGTGTTCCGGAAGGAGCTGATCAGTCGCTGATGAGGGAAGTCGCCGGGATTGATTCCGGTAAATGCGAATTGCCGACAGAAGATAGTGCAAAGTGCTCTGCCGAAGTTGACTCAGAAGGGTCAGGAAACCAGTACGTCACATCCGTCAGAGCTGGGGCTCATTACGCAGAAACCTTGTGGAGGTAAAAGTTCCAGATACGCATCTGAACCTTACGAAAGACTAATGTCATACGAGTGTTGGTTCATACAATTTGGTACATACAGTTTCAACAATTGAAAAAAAAACATATTACTTTCATAATCCCACCATTTGTAACACTTCAGTGCTGTGCATTACTAACAACATGCTTTCCGCCTATTTCAATGCATTTTTTCGTGGGATAAATTGAACGATCGAAGGAATGCCAAAAATCGACTTCCTTCCGTTGATTAAGTAGATTTTCGACGGTAGAAATGAGGCTGTCCCTGTCCTCAATATCAATCCCCTTCAAATTGTTCTTCACTGTCGGAAACAGCCAGAAGTCCCAGGGTGCCTAATCAACTAACGGAACCCGCTTTTTGGCAATGTTCTGATTGTTCGATTTATTGCATGAAAAAATTCTTTGGAATCAGCAGAAAGTTTTTTGAACAGCTCTGAAGTGTTGCCAAATGATGGGGCTATATGCGCGTATTTTTTTAATGGTTGAAATACCGTTGGATATACAATATTTCAAAAACTCTCTAAACGTAAGAACCAACCCTTTGCCTCTGTTATACAGTACTTGCAAGAGAATTTAGGAAATAGTTTCCCTTCATTTCCTCGCCAGCAAAGCTTATGTATGGGTGTTCAATGGCTTTCACTAATTTTATTTCTACGAAACTCATCCAGGAACATTTGGGACACCATTTCCCGAACCCCGAAAGAAGAACTCGAGAAGTGAGAAATCATGGAGACTCCCAAGATGCCTGGATACCCAGGCTGGGATGTGAACGACTGGCTGAAAGAGGACTCCTTGGATGAGGACACTGGGATTCAAAATAACAGAACCAGCAACAATGCTACCTTTTTCGATACGACTTCTGCAGCCAGGTTCCAGTCTGGGTCCACGCACCCGAGCCCCAGAATGCCGCCGCCTGCGGTACCCGATATGCCTTGCATCCCTGTCACGCCTGTGCAAGTGCCTTACGATGAATGCAACCTCGCAGAGACTGATATGTGTTACGTTGAAGAAGAGGAGGAAGAGGAGAGCGAAGAAGTGTGTTATCGGCCAAAATGCTCGAGTGCTGCAGCTCAAAGGTGATATGCGAGAACTATGGTCTAGATTTAAAACTAGACTAAACGGATACGCCGATCAAATTTAAGTAATTCGTCTGATTCCTGTGGGTCTGAGGTGATGGTTAATAAGGCTATCACTCTTAGCCCAAATATAAATACAGTATTGTACAACAATCTAAATGTGGTCGTACATCCTTGTTTGGTACTTTCCTGTATACTCCAGCAAATTCATTTATTGCGGCTCGTCTCTCCATGCTGAAAGTGCTTACATGATTTTCACCAATTTTTCATTAGCTGACCAAGCGATCAGACATTTCCTTCAGAATATCGATTGAAGTATGTGGGAAAGTTTTACATTTTCTAATTTACGGCGACGAATTTCATGCTGAACTCGCGTTGTGAGGTGAGGAAAATTGATTTCTCCTCCCCGTGATGTCGCGTAGGATTCATGCATAAGTGACATCTATGATCTAACATAGATACCTCGTCATCCCCCTTAATGGTAGGTGATGAAAAATTAATTCTGTCTTCTTGTAGAATGTAGATGATGCCAACGGTTTGCTCCCGTCATGCGAGACTTGCTTATAATTACCAGCACGATTGTTTTGACCGCGAAAAGCAGCTTATATGATATACTGTATTGCCTTCAAATCCTTTTTAACTCTTACTAGGAATCAGTACATGAGCTTGCCTTCGAATCTGGTCCTGTCGAAGCCAGCCGGAGAAAACCCGCCGATCGGGGTATTCCCAGGTCCCCGGCCCCGAACCCTTCACCTCCGGCTTCTCGACGAAATGGAGCGCGTTTGCTCCGTGTACAGTGCTCTCAAGGGTCGTCGCGAGGAAATAATTGCTCTCGGCCAAGCTGCGGATCTTCAGGAATCTATCACATGTCTCGAATCTGACGTGGCACAGATGGAAAATGTTCGCGACGCTCTCAAGTCTGTCAACGAAGCTGTGTGTCACGAACTCAAGATCTCTGGGGGATTCGCGGCTTCCAAATTTGGCAACGCTGGCATGATTTCGCGCGAAGTTTTGGCCGAACAGCGGAAGCAAATGGCTCAAGTTAGGGAAGAGCGGCTGAACCGGGTGCGAACCGCGATTGATTCTCTCATGTCGTCTGACAAACTCACTGAGGAAGCCTATGAGGCCATCAAGCTGCTGCAGAAGTGTCCGGAGGAGTGCGCGGAGGAACAACGTCGGACTGCACTGTCGTTGAACCTGAACTTACTCAAGGTTAGTAGAGGGGCTTCGACAACATTGGAACACCATCACGTGTATGGACCATTTGACTTAGAGGAACACATAAAACTCGAGAAATATGCTTTGACATCTATATAAGCGATATCTCAAAAGATAAAAGCTTTCCGAGAAGTTCCAGAAAAATTGAAAATTTTAATCTCTGGAACCAATCAAGCAAAGTTCTATTCACAAAAATTTATAATAAATTTCATTGTTATTTTCTCTTATTTTATTATAAAGTAAAAAACGGACTTAATATGTGCTTATTCTTTTTATAAGGTATAATCTGCATGTACACAGTTTCGCAAGAATTCTGTTCTTCACGTTTTGCTGTTTTTGTTGCTTTTGCCGGTTTACGACTCGTTTCATTTTATTGCAAAATTTTTATGAGGCTGATGTTCAACTAATATTCCAGTGATTGAGGGCAATGCACTGAGAAGAAGCTTCTGACTAACTGATTTTATATACAGGTATTGTATTAATGCACAGTTGTGAAATCGATTGTCCGTCATATTGCGGCAGTCAGAAGGCACAATTTCGTCAAGTACTGCTGTATTGCGATGACCCATGCACTCATCATATTCGCAATTTTTCGCTTTCTGAACCCAGGTTTCTGACGACGCATTTTGCAAAGCTGTCATGAGCATTGACTGGATTCTCGCCTCGTTCTGCTCCAAGGAAGCTATTGCAGGGAATCTGCTTCGAGCAGTGGACTCCTTCATTGCCAGCAGCGAAGAATCCAATCCCCGGCTGATGCAACTCCTCAAGTTGACCAACACTGCCAACAAACCCGAACTTCGCGGTTTATTGGAAACTGAACAAGCCCAGTTGCTTAAATCTCTGAGGAAGTCCCGCGAATGCTTGTTGCGAGCCCGAGAGGCCTTCGTGTCTAAGTTCCAGCCGATTCCAGCCATTCATCCCCAAAAGTCTGATTATCCCAAAGGTGGTTCAAGAAGATCGTCCTCCAAAATGAGTGGTAGTCCTGGTGGAACATGTCAACAGAAACGATGTCTTCGAAGAGATGATATGAATGACATCGTGAACCCATTGACCGTCAGGAACATCAAGAGAGCCGGGCGTTTTTGAAAGCTTTCTTCGTATTTTCGATTACGTTTCTTTTGTCTATTCTCTTTCTATAAACGCGTTCTCTTCTGTTTACCGCATTCACTCAAATGTAAAAATCAGTCATAATAAATTATTTGACGAAATTCCATCGCGTTTTTGCTCGGAAGGAAATAATGCTTTAACATTTGTGGACGCGCTTCTATGCCTCATATTTTCCTTAAAATGTAAGAAATATGTTCATAGCTCGTCTGAAACCACATATGCTGCATAATATTCATGAGAGTCTTGCTATATTTTCTCGCCGTGAAAATATAACCATCTATTCATAGGAGACATTAAGAATTTGTTCAGAGATATTTAAAGCGAAAAAACGAAGGGTTAGTCGTGCGAAGTAAGAATCAGGATATTCATTTTCCTATGGCAGAATATTTATTTTTCTATTAATTGGTTTTGTATTTATCGTAATGACTCGGGTACCGCGCGCCCAAATTTTTAACCCTCAAATCTTAGAAGAAAGTCTAATCCCAAGTAAGACATGCATCGCATTTTTAGTGACTGACAAATTATTTTCGGAACAAGAGGCACCAGGATTAAAATTTGAACACGAATAAAACCTGAATTCAGTTGTTAATTGGTATGGGTGATGAGTTATTTCGAAAAATGTTTACGTCCAAGTGTAAAGCACGCCTAAACTTTCAGAATTTTTTTTGAAAATGTATCCCTCAACTACCTGACGCGTCCCCCTTTTTTTCTCAATTTTGAGAGAAAAGACATGCGGGGTACTCGAGTAAATACGGCATGCTGTGCAAAAATCTATGACGACTTTGCTGATGAATAGGATAACCAGCTTTTAATCTGAGAAAAATAGTAATCATAAGTTGTTCTAAAGTTATCTAAATTAATATTTAAACTTCTGAGTTAATATCAGTTGCAATCACTTCCTTTTTTTGCAACTCTCAGATGCCATATTTAATGTATTGGAGACGCAGACATATTTTCAAGAGGCAATTTTTGCGAACGGCGTTCTATATTCGAGTGAAAAACGGTCATCGGCACTCCGAGTATTGCGGAGAATTTTCATTTTTAGACTTATTCGCGATATATTTGTCTCGGTGAACATTCATTCGATTTCATGATGCTGAAAAATCGATTTGGATTTCCGCGATCTGAATGCCCTCGGTTCGATACAAAACTTGGATTTCAAGAATTTCGTCGTGAAAGAGTCCATTTTAAATTATCCCCTTTTGTACTGCAAATTCCAGCAATCCCATGATCCTGTCTGCAGCTATTTCGTTCACACCGCGGTGCATTTTTTCTGCGTGGTCATCAAAGAACTCTTCAAATTGTTCTTCCTTCATATCATCGAAGTTCGGCAATTCTTCGTCACTGGACAGAATCATGGGCAAAAGCCAGGAGCTGACGAGGAATCCCATTTCCCAAGCTGATTCCATGTCCTTCAGGAATGCGTCGAATGTATAGGCTGCTTTGTTGGGCCAAGGAGTTTCCATCTTTTTCACAGTTGACATGAAAGTCACGTAGTATTCAAGCAACAGGTGGTTCAAGCAGTTTTTCCTGACTTCGTTTGGCACATTTGCTAGTAGAACCGATGCCAGGTCTCCGGTAATGTGAGTGTACCTTTAAGAAGACAATCGTATGAAATACGTAAAGAATTGAAGATTTTGCCTCTTTAGTCCTAGCTTTGGACGATCTTGAATTAAAATGTTATAAATTATTGATCGAACAATTTTTGTTCATGCAGTAAAATCCTATTTAAAAAGTTATCTGGGCGAACATGCGGAAAATTCCTCACACAATTAAAAGGTCGGTACAGTGAGACTTGTGGCTGTTACATCACTTGCAATTTAATTTTTCTAGAAACAGATGATGAACGCTTGTAATACGTGCTTTGGCAAAATATGTACAGTATTAAGACTTGTCATCATTTCCAACTCTTTCTTTTGAATTAATGAGGAAATGTTCTGAATGTAAAATACACTCACTTTTATTTAGACGTTCCCTGCTTCAGATTTTCGATTAATGTTCTGATTGTAATGGATTTAAACATAAACATAAAATCGTATATTAAGAGCATGTTTTTATTTTTATTATGCTTTCCCTGTAATGACTAACCTGGAACTTTTTGTTGAATACAAGTTTTTTATAACATGGTTGCCACGCAGAAACTGTTGGTGGCTTTAAGAATTGTTTTAATGGAAAATAATTGTACAGTATTTGAATATGAGGCATTATTCATTCTATAAAATAAAATTTTGTTTCATACGCCCCTGTAAGTGAAAAAATGTTACTGGAAAATTTGTGGTACTGATGTGTACAGAAATTGAGATATTGGCGGAATATGGAAAATATCATTTTTATGCAACAAAATTGCCTCCGAAGAATACATTGCTATCATGATCTGATATTTACAAAAAAATTACAGCAGGAAGGTGGACGCTGTTGATGGTTAAAAAAAGTATATATATAAATACTGTGCATATATTGAGAGAACGTTTATAGAGTGGAAGACAGATTTGATTATAATGTAATGCTGATATACTACAATTTTGACATAATACCAGGCAGCTTCGCACCTGCTGATTTGAAGGTCCAATATCTTCACTTCAACCGGAACCTCTTTTCCTTTTTCGTTTTTTTCGTACCGGAACATGTAGTTATTGTTCCAGCAATCACCGTGACTCATTACAGTTAATTCACCGTGTCTGTGGATCCCAGCCATTAATCTGACGAACGGAGACTTCACCCTCTTGACGTAATCTTCCAAACGTTGCACCAAATCCGGCCTATTTTGACCTGCCGAAAGCACATAACGGTTTTGGCATGGTCAAACAATTTTAGATTTCTTTCTCGTTCATGGAGTTCAATCTACTGGTTCAATTGAACGCCGTACTCAAAAATCAAACTGAAAAAAGATTGATGCAAAAGTCACTCAGCAGAAATTCAAAAAATGCAAGCTCACGAACTTTCACTTACACAGTACTGGCGGAGTGACGTTTTAGATACAGTATTAAAACTTTATTTCACCATTGTAAATTCAGTATTCGTTGGAATAGAAAGTCAAAAAGCGGTTCATTATTAGTACACAATTTTTGCCCGCATTTATGTCTATTTGATTCTTTTTGCTTGCTGAGATGGAGAAAAAAACACAATTTGATCATTTAACTTATTTCGAAATTTTGTCACCCATAAGTGCAAAAAAGATTTACTGGCACTTCGACTGCTACAAAATATGTCAAATTATACGATAAAAAAATTTTCGCAGCGAAAATTTCTCACTTGTGAAAATAATCAGTCTGATTTTTTATAATCCGATTTTGGCAATGTTTTGAAAAAGAATATGGGAGGCCGAAGTGTCAATTGCTGAGTTGGAAAATAGTACCGACATTAAGGAACATTTTCAATGAACAGACTAAGTTTGTTTTAACTTTTCGTTTCAATTCCTTGTTCACGGGTCTAAGGATTTTGATTAAAGAACCTGGGCCCCGGACAACTTAATTTAATTGCAAAAACAACCCTTTTGATTCAAGCATTTTTTAAAGAAGTCGAGAAGCATAATATATCTCGCTGCACCTCATGAGTGAAAAGAATCCAAGGGCTGGATGAGCAGAACATTTTACGTTTTAACTAAATGCTTCAGTCATCCTGATCTCAAGCAGAAATATTTTGATAAGACTGTACCTTTAGCGAAAGTGATTGTTCCGGGAAAAATCGCGTTGTCCATCATTTGTTCAAAATTCTTGCTAAACACCTCCAAAAGCAACGGCGCGTTTCGCAGCAAATACTGTTCGTTGCCCATGCGTTGCTTCGCATTGAACCCAGTGGCAGCATAAACTGCCTCTGCCCGAACACACAGGGTGGCATGTGCCAAATCCATGCCCAATCGCTTGTCGTTCATTCGGAAGCCGATTTCCTTCAGGTCTTCCATCACTAGGCAAGACGCTTCCAGACCAATTTCCTGGAAGAACAGCTTTGCAAATGAAGGACGAATTTTTGGCTCAACGACTTGCTGTTCAAGGACCAGGTTCGTGTAGTCGTGTAACACGTGGATTTCTCGCTCGAAAGCCCTCATATTTCTCACCTGAGGAAAGGAAACAAATTTCAATTTTTTTGAATAATATACTGCTCCTACCTAAAAAAAATAATAATTTGAAGAAAGTCCAGAGAACAATTTTCTGACATTTCCCGGGATTTTAGAGGAAAAATGCACGAGAAGATCATACCGGAACAAATTTTAATGTTTTCTTCCAAATTAGAAATTCAAGTTCCAACTAGCCAAATGGAGGCTTCGCCAAAAAAACTAAGGACAATCAAAGGATGAAATTATTTATAGCAGGGTTGTACATGAATTATTATATGAAGGTATAGAAATGAATAAGTCAGCTATCTATTTCAGAACATTTTGAAAGAGGATAGCAGTTTAAATTATCTGATGAAAAATAAATGTTGGCTTTTCTCTTCAACAATTCATAAAAAATTTCACCTACTGAAATAAAGTATTCATTCTAAGAAACCTTTCTTGAAGCACAGCGTTCTAATTTTTGTAAAACTGTAACTGCTGCTTCATTATTGATTACGTTAATTCTTGCAATAAAAGTTTTGGTTGGAGGACTTCATGACAGGTATTTAAAATATTCCTGGTGGTCTGCAAAAGTTTTATGGAACCTTGCTGGCCCTCAAAACATTTTATGGAAACTTGCGAGGTCTTTATAGAACTAAAAAGGTTGCGGAACCCTAGTTGATAGGGCACTACCGTTTCAATGACATTCTATAGCTGATGAAAGTGTTTTTAATCAAAAGCACTACAATTTTTATGAATTCAAGGAGTCTCACGAGTTTTTTGTGCAATTCTCCCGGAGGATACAGCTTGGCTAATAAACTGAATCGTTTCTCCGAGTCCGAATCTCCTTCTGTGTCATTCGCATCCTTCTTCTTCCTCGCAGTGACACTGATTCTCTGCATTCTGCTCAAGAAACCGTCTGTTCGCAAAGCACCTGGAGTGACATTCCATTCTCTGATCAATAAGTTCGTCGGCTCGGTTTTGAATTCATCAGCGACGACCCGAGCGATCCAGTCTTGGGTCACCGTCTCCGCCGACGTCGGGACCATAGGAAAATCCATGGTTACTTTTTTTTTGTTCGAAAAATCTCACTCAAAACTCTCCTGTGAACATGCATAAAACCACATTTATCGAAATAATATGCAACAGAGGGTTTGAAAAGGAAGAAAGAGCGGCAGCGATTGAGCATCGAGCTGATTATTTCTCAGCAGAACGAACACGATGCAAGACGTTCCAGAAAAAATGCCAAGAACTCTGATTGCAACATACTTGAAAAATTGGCAATATTGTATTCACCCAGGTACAACATTCATCCTCGAGTGAAAAGAGCACACAAGTTTTTAGCCTACTTTCAAAGGGAAATCCATGCAAAATTTTCTTTTCTGTGAAACACGCGCTTTAGTTTTAATGTGTGCACACATTATAACTGAGTATATATAAGTTCCAGGCATAAAAAATGCCAGGTTTCAAAATAGAAAAATTCTAGACACAGGAATGTGTGCACACATTATAACTGAGTACTGTATGCATAAGTTCCATGCATGAAAAAATGCCGGGTTCCAAAATAAAAAAAAATTTCTAGACATAGAATTGCTTGGAAAAGATCATGCGCACGAAAAAAAATGTATCTTCTGGTTTAAAAACGTTTTCCTTTTGAATATGTTTCGACGAAGAAGCGGGACAGTACGCTACAAATTTTGGACCAAAGCGAAAGTACTGGACTGCAATTGAAAGCCAAAGTTGGCATTTTATCCAAGAGCATAACTTGAGAAAAAATTCACGAATAAATTGGGAAAACTCCTCAAGCTTATAAAATAATTTCTTTTGAAACCCCGAATCCAGAACATCCCGATTATTTTCACAGCCAATTCATTGATTCTACGCTTCATTTCAGTGTCATTTTTGTCAACAAAAAAACTTGCCCATCTTGTCAAAGTCCGGGATGTCTTCGTAATTGGATACAATTTTTGGCAGAGGCCAGGAATCAGTCAGAAACCAAAATTCCCCAAGAAGTCTTCATATCTTGGAGGAATGCCTCATAAGTGTATTTTCAGCCTCGTGTCCAGAGAGTACCGAGATTTCCCAGAATCCACGTGAAAGTATTGTGGTATTCTTGCAGAATTTCGTTCACATGGGGGTCACGGATTCGAGCTGGAAAATTTGCGAGTGAATAGAATTATAGATGCTGCCGAATCGCCTGTGGGATGAATGTACTGTATCTGAAGTAAAAGCATTCAAGATATATAAGTACTGTATCTTAAAAATGAAATGCTGAAATTTGAGGAAAACCTGGTACACTTCCGAAGAATCACAGTAGATGAAGCTCAATGTTGCCCAACTTTTTTGGCTCAGCCAACTGGTAAAAGAGCGTTACATTTTATGTTTTACTGGCAGACAACTTTTCACAAACGCAACGTACAGTGCCAGCTAATCCAAAGTTTTCAAATTGAAAGTGTCAAAAATCTTCCAAATATATTCGATACTAGAAAATATAAGGCGAAATTATTAAATGTTCAAGATTGCATCAATTTTCCTGGTAGAATGTTTGCAAACTTTCAATTTTGTAGGTTGCTTGAAATGCAACAGGTGAGTGAATTTAGCGATTTAAAAGTAGAAAGAGTTCCTCAAAGCACCTACCTTGAAGTTCAGCTTGAAGTTCCAGTGCTTCGGATTTTCCGTGACTGCAAAATTTGCATCAGGGTCCAGTTTCACAGAAGTAAATCTTTGAAAAAGGTCGACGGATGATTTGTGCGCCTGATCCTGACTGAACAGCACGAATAAGTGGCAAATGAATTAGCTTTTAAACTGATAAAATGAGTGATTCTTCATTCATTGCAATGGAGTTTCCTTAAATTATAATTAACAGTTTGACTTAATCAAATGCAATCACGTCACGTGCCAATCTCAGATTTTTTTTGTCATCATCATCATATTTTTAAGAGTCTATTTTGGAAAAGGGCGTTATAAATTGAAGTAAAACTGGTAATTTTGCTCATTATGCGTTGGATTTTAATGATGAAAAAATTTATTTGGATTTTTGCAACTTGAATGCCCTCAACTGAATACAAAAATCAGATTTTCCAGACTTTCGTCTTTGAAACCGAGTACCGCGTTAAATTATTCCCTTCTGCACTGCAAATTCCAGCAGGCCCAGGATTCTCTCTGCAGCTATTTCATTTACACCACGGCTCATCTTGTCTACGTGATCCTCGAATAAGTCTTCTACTCTGTCATCCTTTATGTCATCGAAGTTGGGCAATTCTTCGTCATTCGACAGAATCATGGGCAAAAGCCAGGAGCTGATGAGGAATCCCATTTCCCAAGCGGATTCCATGTCCTTCAGGAATGCGTCAAACGTGTAAGCTGCTCTGTTGGGCCAAGGGGTTTCCATCTTCTCCACAGTTGACATGAAAGTCACGTAGTATTCAAGCAGCAGGTGGTTCAAGCAGTTTTCTCTGACTTTGTTTGGCACATTTGCTAGTAGAACTGATGCCAGGTCTCCGGTAATGTGACTGAACCTAAAGACAATCATACGAGATAACAGTATACCAATAAAGCTGTTTACCCTCATCCCCCAGTTCTGAAAAAAGCTTAATTACATTGAATTAAGCTTTTTTCAGTGAAAAAGCTTAATTCAATGTAAGCTTTTTCACTGAAAACGCTTACATTGCCTGTTAATACATTACCTTTTAGTTCATATATTACCTGTTTCTGTATGAACTAAAACTCATACAGAAACAGGCTGAAGACATTGTGCTTTTAATTATTTGCTTTGTTTCATGCTTTGAAGTGATTGAATGTATTTGGGGGGAGTTGGGTTGGGTGGGGAGGGGATTGGGATGCGGGAGTCTTGGTTGTGCCTTGTGAACACTGAAAAGCGGCAAATAAAGCTTTCTGTTCATTCATTCATTCACATTGAATTTAAATCCTTGAAATCATTCAATCAGGAATTTTGATTGCAGCAAGTTAATACCTAATGTCGTTTATTTTAGGATATTTTTTCCCATTGGCTTTTTCAAGAAGAAAAATATGTTGCTGTTTGAGAATGTCAGAAACTTGAACTTGCTACTGAATGAGTCCGCGATCCATGCAAGAATTTCTGGATGTTAGCGCACAGACCGAAAAGAAAAAAAACTGAAATTGATGTTAGTTTGCGAGTTATTGCAGTTTATTGTTCATAAGACACAATACAGTATCCGCTGGTGTAAGGATATGGAGGATATTTCGTTGTAAAAATCTCAAAGAGATGAAAATTTTATTCCCCAATGCAAAATTAAAAAACCAAATATTTCAAATAAACACGTGGGCAAAATTTAGTCAAGTGGTTAACACACTACCCATTTTTCCATGATGCAATCCTCATTATTTTCCTTCCCTGACAGTACTTAACTTAGCAGACTTTCCCTTGTCTGATAATGACAATTAATTATAAGTGTTACTATACTGTATACACATTTGACTGCAGGCGGGAAGTCTGCAAAGTCAAGTATTTTCAAGGAAAACAAATAATGAGAATTGCATCATGGAAATATGGTTGGTGTGTTAACCACTTGAGAAAAGTTTGCCTACATGTTTTTGCTAATATATTGTATATGATGGAATCTACATGCCAGAACAAGTTATTTGAAATCAAAACAGGAAAACGCGCACGACAAAATGCTTCTGTGAGAGTATTTTTCAAAGTGACATCTTCATTTGAAATTGATGATAGGTTAATTTCGCTTCAAAGACATTTGAAGTTAGTCTGCCTCAAGCCTATACTTTTTGAGGAAATTTTCCCGTTCAAATTCCAGATAAGAAAGAAATACTGTACCATCAGGGTTTTTAAGTTTACAAAGTACGGTATATAGAATAACGCTATTTTACATTTTAATTTAAAATAGCCTTTTCTCGAGCGTATTACGGATTATAAATATTATATCCACAATTCGAAATGCAGGACAGTATTTTCTTTAAAAAAAAGGTGGATCAACGTGCATTGTTGGGTCACCTCATGAGGCAGTGTTTTGGATGGGGAATAAGAAAAGTAGAATAAGTGATCGCAGTGATCGACTGATCGCACACTAGTTTTTCAAGCTAACATGATAAAGAACTGTGTGTCTTACAAACATCAAGAAAAACGAAAATTTTCTACCGTTTTCTGAATTACGCTTATATAGAAGAAAGCAACTGTACAGATGAATATACGTCTGAATTGAATGTAATAAATGCGGAATAATTCTGATCTAAAATAATTACTACATTGAACATCCATGTACAGGTACCTGCTGATTTGTAGGTCCAAGATCTTCACTTCCACCGGAACGTCTTTTCCTTCTTCGTTTTTCTCATACCGAAACATGTAGTTATTGTTCCAGCAATCACCGTGACTCATTACTGCTAATTCGCCAAATCTGAGGACCCCTGCCATAAACCTGGCGAAAGGGGACTTCACCTTCTTGACGTAATCTTCCAAACGTTGCACCAAATCCGGCCTATTCTGACCTACCGACAGCAACCCAAAAAACGTTTTTTGTATCGCTAACAAATTCTGAAGGCATTATTGTTGATGGCGGAAGGGAAATTAGCGAAATCTTTGGAATTTGAGAACTTTTTTGTCACACCTGGGAAATTATTCAATGACTGAAAAATAGTTTTACTTTTTCACTTTTTTTCAGCAAACCACGATCTCAGACAGAAAACTTACTTTTAGCGAAAGCAATTGTTCCGGGGAAGATCTGTACATCCATTATTTGTCCAAAATTCTTGTCATAAACCTCCACGACCAAAGGCGCATTTCGCAGCAAATACTGTTCGATCCCCATGCGTTGCTTCGCATTGAACCCAGTGGCAGCGTGAACTGCCTCGGCCCGAACACACAGGGTGGCATGTGCCAAATCCATGCCCAATCGCTTGTCGTTCATTCGGAAGCCGATTTCCTTCAGGTCCTCCATCACTAGGCAAGACGCTTCCAGACCAATTTCCTGGAAGAACAGCTTTGCAAACGAAGGGCGAATTTTTGGCTCAACGACTTGCTGTTCAAGGACCAGGTTCGTGTAGTCGTGTAACACGTGGATTTCTCGCTCGAACACCCTCATTTTTCTCACCTGAGAAGCAGAAAACAATCTACTTCGAAAATAGCTTGAGTAATTCGCTTTTGAACTTCAAGAATATGCCCAATTATGCATTTAAAAAGGACACGAAGAATATTATGCAGTACAAAAGCCACATTCTAATTTGTCAATCTGGTAAAAATAATTCCTGTTGAACAGTTTCGGACGACCCTGTTGCTCGGATATTTTACTTTAAAAAGTGTAACTGATAGAAATTGCCGTGCTTTTATGCGTTTCGAAGGCACGTGGAACTAAGACAACACTACCAAGAACCCAATCAAGCCTTCCAACGAAACAAGAAGTCACATTCTTCTTGCTTGAATGAAAAGGTTTTTTAAACTCTCGGGTCTGTGGAAATCCTGAAAACATTACTATATAACCACAAACTATAGGTCTTCATTAAAATACTAAATTAACATTCATCTCAGATTTTCACTCATCTTTTCCCAAGTCAATTTATTTCAGGAAAATATATATGTAAATATTATCCCTTGTTTTACAACCAGGAATTTTATGAAAAAAATGCGATTTTTATGGATGTGTTATGAAAAAGTAATGCGACTTATTCATGCCAATGCAAAGTATGCAAATAGGTCCAAGTGATTAAACCTGAACGCCTTAAAAGATAAACCCTGGCGTATTTTTTGAGCAGGAATAAAAATTACAGCGGGATCTCACTATTGGGTGTAGGGCAAACAAATACATTAGAAGGAAATCTGAAACTTTTTTGAAAGAAAGAAAGCAGAACATTAATCTTGTCCGTCTAATTGGGAGTCAAGCTTACAAATGGAAAACATCTAGGATGAAACAATTCCATTTACACAATTTAGAAGCTGATATATCTCCAGCATGAACACCAAGCCAGATTATTCTTGATTTTTGCAACTAAATGAGGCTACGTATTAAAACCTACTCAGGAATAATGGAAAGTTTAAAATTTCAGATTATTCCACTGCTGCTAGAATCATTTCTAGACAAAATAAAAAAATTTTCAGGTATTCGAGGAGTCTCACGAGTTTTTTGTGCAATTCTCCCGGAGGATACAGCTTGGCTAATAAACTGAATTTTTGCTCAGATTTCGGATCTCCTTCTGTGTCATTTGCATCCATCTTCTTCCTCCTCGCAGTGACACTGATTCTCTGCATTCTGCTCATGAAACCGTCTGTTCGCAAAGCACCCGCAGTAATATTCCAATTTTTTATTAATAAGTTCGTCGGCTCGGTTTTGAATTCATCAGCGACGACCCGAGCGATCCAGTCTTGGGTCACCGTCTCCGCCGACGTCGGGATCATAGGAAAATCCATGTCTCCCTTTTTTTTCGTAAATCTCACTCAAAACTGTCCTGTAAATAAAAAATTACTTTTCTCAAAATAATCTTCAAAAGTTGGAGAATGAAGGAAAAGAAAAGGGACAGAAAGTGAGCAATGAACTGATTATTTCTCAGCAGTACGAACACGATGCCAGATGCTCCAGCAAAAATATCAAGAACCCTAAATGCAGCATACAGGTACTTAAAAAAATCAATGCAGTATACTTTATTTACTCGTGTACAACATATCCTTGTGTAAGACGAGCACCCCAGTTTTAAGAAGGAAAAAAAAACTTATCTTCCTGTAAAACATTCACTAATATACAGTAGTTTCCATGACAAAACATTTTTTTTTCTTTGAGCATCAGCATACATAAATAAAAGTTCGAGAAATAGAAAGCACGGCGTTCAAAATATAAAACCCACACTAGCATGAATGCCAAAAGAAGGTTGTACGTACTGATAAAATACAGCAGTACCTGGAACTCGTACTTTGGCTTTTTCAATTTTCGTTTTGTTTTGAGGAGAAAGCGGTATACATTACGTAATGAATTTTGGACTAAAAATGCATGCAAAGTCGTTTGATTCTCCATAAAGGTAATTCATCCAAGACCCCAAAATTGTAATAAAAAAAACTTTTGACGTTGTTCACGAGTAAATAGGGAGATTTCTCAAACAAATCAAATAATCCCCTTTGCAACCCCGAATTCCAAAACGCCCAGGATTCTGTCCACAGCCGAATCATTGATCCCACGCTTCATCTTAGCGTCATTATCGTCGAAAAACTTGCCCATCTCGTCCTCTTTCATGGTGTCGAAGTCGGGGATGTCTTCGTCATTTGATAAAATTGTTGGCAGGAGCCAGCAAGCTGTCAAAAACCCGTATTCCCAAGCAGTTTCCATTTCTTGGAGGAATGCCTCAAAAGTGTAGTCAGCCTTTCGAGTCCAAGGAGTGCCGAGTTTTTCCAGAGTGGACATGAAGGTATTGTAGTATTCTTGCAGAATTTCGTTCATGTGGGGGTCTCGGATTCGCGCTGGAACATTTGTGAGCAGTGATGCTGCCAAANAAGTTTAAAATTTCAGATTATTCCACTGCTGCTAGAATCATTTCTAGACAAAATAAAAAAATTTTCAGGTATTCGAGGAGTCTCACGAGTTTTTTGTGCAATTCTCCCGGAGGATACAGCTTGGCTAATAAACTGAATTTTTGCTCAGATTTCGGATCTCCTTCTGTGTCATTTGCATCCATCTTCTTCCTCCTCGCAGTGACACTGATTCTCTGCATTCTGCTCATGAAACCGTCTGTTCGCAAAGCACCCGCAGTAATATTCCAATGTTTTATTAATAAGTTCGTCGGCTCGGTTTTGAATTCATCAGCGACGACCCGAGCGATCCAGTCTTGGGTCACCGTCTCCGGCGACGTCGGGATCATAGGAAAATCCATGTCTCCCTTTTTTTTCGTAAATCTCACTCAAAACTGTCCTGTAAATAAAAAAAATTACTTTTATCAAAATAATCTTCAAAAGTTGGAGAAGGAAGGGAAAGAAAAGGGACAGAAAGTGAGCAATGAACTGATTATTTCTCAGCAGAACGAACACGATGCCAGATGCTCCAGCAAAAATATCAAGAACCCTAAATGCAGCATACAGGTACTTAAAAAAATCAATGCTTAAATCAATACTTTATTTACTCGTGTACAACACATACCCTGTGTAAGACGAGCACCCCAGTTTTAAAAAGGAAAAAAAACTTATCTTCCTGTAAAACATTCACTATACAGTAGTTTCCATGAGCAAACATTATTTTTCTTTGAGCATCAGCATACATGAATAGCAGTTCGAGAAATAGAAAGCACGGCTTTCAAAATATAAAATCCACACTAGCATGAATGCCAAAATAAGGTTGTACGTACAGATAAAATACCTGGAACTCGTACTTCGGCTTTTTCAATTTTCGTTTTGTTTTGATGAAAAGCGGTATACATTACGCAATGAATTTTGGACTAAAAATGCATGCAAAGTCGTTTGATTCTCCATAAAGGTAATTCATCCAAGACCCCAAAATTGTAATAAAAAAAAACGTTTGACGTTGTTCACGAGTATTTATCCCTCTAAAGAGTTTGTTTAGTTTATTAGGGGAAACGTTGGGGCTTAAGGTTTTGCGGGTCCTAAGACAGGTGTCGGCTTAGTAACTAGGGTGCGAAGTAGAATCGCAGTAATAGCAGCTTTAACTTGCCCATCTCGTCCTCTTTCATGGTGTCAAAGTCGGGGATGTCTTCGTCATTTGATAAAATTGTTGGCAGGAGCCAGCAAGCTGTCAAAAACCCGTATTCCCAAGCAGTTTCCATTTCTTGGAGGAATGCCTCAAAAGTGTAGTCAGCCTTTCGAGTCCAAGGAGTGCCGAGTTTTTCCAGAGTGGACATGAAGGTATTGTAGTATTCTTGCAGAATTTCGTTCATGTGGGGGTCTCGGATTCGCGCTGGAACATTTGTGAGCAGTGATGCTGCCAAATCGCGCCATTATACTCACATAGACTCCAGTTTTGTAAGTGTTGTCTGAATATAGCATGTATATGACGTGTCGTGACATAAATGTGAACGTTTCTTCTTGTCAGAGGCCTTAAATATCTGAGGAAAGCTTACCTTGACTTTTACACCAGTGAAACAATTACCCCAAGACTTCAAATGTGATAATTTTGAAATGCCCCTAAGTCTTTTGAGGTTTTTTTAATATCTGTTTTTATATTTTTACAAAATTCTCAACCAATTTCTTTAAGATCGCGGACCAGCAAATTTTCATTCATTTTTTTGCGGCTCGGCAAAATTTCCTAACATTTTCTGCAGACCAGCAAAGTTGCATAAAATGTTTGCCAACGCGAGGACGTTTTGTTTGAAAGACTTTAATGCAGGTATTATTTAAACATTTTCTTGCTCTTTTGAAAAAATTAAGAAGGAATGAAGCAGCTATTGTGGAAAGTCTTCAAAAAATTAGAAAGGTGAGCTTGAAGAAAGGTTTCTCAGAATGAAAAAAAAAAAACAGAATAATTCATTTCAGCATGCGAAAATTTGTCTGAAGTGTTATTTGGATAGGATTCAACTCTTGTTTTTCATCAGGTAATTTCAACTATCATCGTCTTTCAGAAATTTCAGATAAAGACAGCAAACTTAATTTGCTACTTTTGATAAATGTATGATGCTGAAGTAAATTTCTCTTGGAACAAAAAAAAATAAAAACTTGAATGAATTTAATGTATTCTTTCTTCATTGTGATACCTTCGTAAGGGAAAAATTGTTTAAAGCTCATAGAAAAATAGGAGAAATCTACAGTTGACTCTTTTATGACCTGTTACTCGTTGTAGTTAATTGAGTTAGTAACCAAGTTCAAACAGAGGGCTAGTCACCTTACGTTTTTTTATTTATCAAAGTACGAGACCTGCTGATTTGAAGGTCCAATACCTTGACTTCGACAGGGATTTCGTTACCATCAGCGTCAAGCTCATAGCGAAACATGTAATTATTATTCCAGCAATCGCCATGACTAAATACTGCTTTCATGCTCACCTGCTGATTTGAAGGTCCAATACCTTGACTTCGACAGGGATTTCGTTACCATCAGCGTCAAGCTCATAGCGAAACATGTAATTATTATTCCAGCAATCGCCATGACTAAATACTGCTAAATCTCCGAGTCTTTCCACTCCTGCCATCAGTCTGACATAAGGTGACTTGACCCTCACGACATAGTCTTGCAGACGTTTCACCAAATCCTCTCGATTTCTACCTACAATTTTAAATGCAATTCAGTCTTTTTTTTAAAGCTCAAATCTTGAAGCTTTTTATCTTCAGAGGTTGAATATCTATCTGAGATAATTTGTACAAACGGGGTTTCCGTCTTACCTTTCCCTTATTGATACCTCTCGGATGATGGGGGAAGAGGGAAACTATATTTCCATAAAATAATATTTGTTCTTCAACTTTCCACAGTACCAAATTTTGAAAACTACAGGGTCAATACGGTGAGAAAATTGATTTAGTTTAAAGAGTTTCTTGTCCACATTAGGAAATTAGGTAGAACTTGCATTTTCAGTTAATTTGGTCTAAGAGCAACCAAACTGCTGAGAAATGTCATTTACTATGCAAAAATGAATATCTCACAAGAGGCTTCGATTTAAGAAAATCATTAGAAAATAAACTGAGCTTTCTTTTTAAGACTTTGCTTTCAAAAGAGTATTAATGATTTTCATAATGTAGCTCGGGAAATTGAGGATCGGACAACTTGTTACTACAGCAGGACAACAACAAAAATTCAATACATTTGTATCACGAAACTTTACCAAGGTAATTTCCGATTAATCCTCGTGACCAGGGTTTTGTTCCGCATTGAAAAAAATTACTCGCAACTTATTCTTTCAGGGAGAAAAATCCAAATAAGTAGATCTAGAAGTCATTTCATAAGGCGCGAAAGGTTTGCCCAAAAGTTCAATTCCTCTCAAGTTTCAATTCTGAATCTTTCTTACCTTCGGCGAAAGAAATGAGGCCTGGGTAGACTTGTGTATCAAGCATGACGCCAAAATGGTTTGTCAATGGATTCAAAAGAAGTGGTGCATTATCCAACATGTACTGCTCTACGCCGACTCGTTGTTTGGCATTGAAAGCAGTCGCCGCCAAAATCGCTTCCCCTTGAGCGCAAAGTAGCGCATGAGCCAAATCCATCCCTATACAGTACATAAAAAAATGTATGCATTTTCAAAAACCGAAGAAATTCCGCAATTGTAACAATTGTATTCTTGGATTTTTCTTGATAAGAACCAGCACAGAAGATAAAAGGGGTCACCGTGGTACTGAGAAGTACGGTATAGAAAATTGAAATCATTATTGGTGTGCATGCCACTTCGAATGTGGTTCATTCATTTCTAATTCAACAACAATTAAATCATAATGGTTGCGAAAGGCTTCAGCGTTTCCACAAGCACAGCATAGAGTGCATAAACGTTTCCATTCAGCCAAAAAATTGCATTTTTGAGTGTGCAAATAATGTACAGTATTACGTTGAAT